ATTCTTTTTTTAATTTGTGGTTAAAATATATATAACATAAAATTTACCATTTTAATCACTTTAAAGTGTACAGTTCAGTGGCATTAAGTACGTCCGCATTTTTGTGCAATCATCATCACTATCTATCTCCAGAACGTTTTCATCTTCCCACACTGAAACATTGTACCTCTTAAACAATCCCATTTCCCCCTCTCTCCAGCCCCTGGCAACCACCAGCTTTTCGGTCTCTATGAATTTGACTACTCTAGGTACCTCGTATAAGTGGAAACGTATAATATTTGTCCTTTTATGACTCACTTATTTCTCTTTGCGTAATCCTTCAAAGTTCATACATGTTGTTCCAGATGATTCTTAAATGATCTTCCTATAACTTTACTAAGAACTTCCTATAGCCCAAAGCTTTAGAAAAAATGAGGTTAAATGAGGCCCATGTTATTGGCACTTCTATATTTGTTCCAGATCTTTATTTATCTGTTATCCATTTCTTCTCCATTTGTCTCCATCCCTCAACTTCCTAACTGACTCACCATTATTTGGTGAGTCAAATTCACAACTACCTTCTTTACTAAATTTGTCACAGAAATTCATGCCTTACTAGGGGCTTAAATTCTCACTTAAAGGGCTTATCATCCTACATTTGCAGTTGAACACAGTAGCAGCTTTTATATAAGGTCACAGATAGCAAAAAAAAGCAAAAATAATTGACTGTAAAATGCTTCCTGCTCCAGTATTAATGAAGACAAATTGGGGAGGAGGGTGTCGGCACTGCCCAGATTAAGTGTGCTTGGAGAGTTCTCTCACTAACAGTGTATCCCTCTAAAGGAAAAATATGTAAATTTCTTCATTCAGGCAAGAGAAGAAAGTATCAACTGGGAAAATTTTAACCAGCTTAAGTTACATTAAGACTCTGTGGTCTTTATTATTATCATTTTCTTCTTCTTCATTGATGATGTTTCTAAAAACAAAACAACCACACAAATAATCAAACAATAAGATCCATAATGTCTTTCAGGGTTCACTGAATGATCAAGAAAATGAAAGAAATATTTTTGGAGTAGCAGATTATAATATTGTAAAGAGGTTGGCCTGAGAATACCATAGCCATCTTCTTACAGGAATCAGAGAGATTATGCCAGAAGAACCATGAAAGATCTGAAAGTGCAGCTATGTCCCCTGATTGCTTGATGCAGCCATGTTGGAGGAGGTCATTGAGAGGACGTGACTGCCATTTCACCTTGAGCTGGACCCAGGCAATCAGAGGCTCCTTACCCCTCCCTTGTCCTTGGAATGTACATTCTACCCATTCTTCTCACACTAGGAGCTGCTTTAAGGGCACAGCCTTGAGAGAGCAATATGTTGTTGAGACCATCTGGACTGTATGTGTGACTGGATCCCATTAAGGCCTCTATATATACTTTTTTTTGGTGAGGAAGATTGGCCCTGAGCTAACATCTGTTGCCAATCCTTCTCTTTTTGCTAGAGGAAGATTGTCGCTGAGCTAACGTCTGTGCCAGTCTTCCTCTATCTTGCATGTGGGATGCTGCCACAGGGTGGCTTGATGAGCGGTGCCATGTCTGCGCCTGGGATGGGAACCCACAAACCCTGGGCCGGTGAAGCAGAGTGAGTGAACTTAACCACTACGCCACAAGGCCGACCCCTGTATAAACTTTTAAGATTCCGGTGGGCTGGTGCAGAGATCTACTCATCTTGTGGCTGCCCAGGACAAGCCTCAGAGGGAAGTTTCTTTGCTTATGAAAGCTGCCGTCTACCAGTCTGGGGTGATCTCACTTTTTCTTCAGTCTCTCTTTGCCCTCTGTGTAAAGGGACCAGTTTCAGATTTTGCCCAGGGAACTCCTGAGGTTATGAACCAACAACCCACTTCTGATAACCTCTGTTTTTATGTGGATGGTAAAATGACACTTGGAAATCCTTTGAGAAAACATACCTGGTACCAGAGAGGTAAGCTAAAGGATAACTTGAGATCTCTTGAAGATTTACACCCATATTTACTGATCTTTGATGTCGGAGAAGGAATGAGTCTCCCTTACTAAGCAAAGGAAAGATGATTGTAGAAGAAAATATCCAGAACCCATGATTATATCATCAATAAGCATGGCCAGGCCTAAGAGTAATACTCAAAATGATCTTTTTCAAAGAATCTACTTAAAGCTGTGAGCTATATGAGTTCCCCCACCCCCCAACCTGTGTTTTTTGTTATTTTGGGGGAGGGGCAAAACCTGCCTTGGTCTTTTTTGAGAATCCTCATCTTTGATAGAATAGTTGCTGAAATCTTTTCCACACTACCTCCCCACGCCCGCAGTTATTCTGGCTGAGATTAATAGCCTAACCAAAAATAAGCTCTTCCAAATGATACATCTAGTTGATTATTGATCTCCTAGATCAAAAAAGTATAATTAGTGATAATTAATCATGGGAGCTTTTCTTTAAAAGAATGTTTAAACCATGGCTCAAGGCTCAAATTAGGCAGGGTTCCTCATACTTCATTAATTTTTGTTTTTTATATATATATATTTTTTTACTTCTATAAAAAAGGCTAGAGTATGGTTTAAAGGTTAAAATGAGGATTTTACATGGAAATAAAAACTGTTATTTCCTAAGCTCCATATTACATGTGGTTACTGTTCTGGGCCAGTTGAATTTCCAAAGGTAGGGAAGAGAGAATTTTAAAGGGACTGAATAGTTGGTGATCCAGATATAGCTTTAAATTTTGGAAGTTTATTTGACTTTACAGTTCCATTGATTGTAGGATGTTCCCTTCTTTTGAAGATATCAATAAATTACTTTGGGCCTTGACAGGTTTAGATTTTCTGGACCATTGAATAATAATAATAATTGCTAACGTGTACTTATAGAAGGAGCAATTACATGAATATGGTGGGGATTGTCTTGTGTACTCTTCAAAATGACCCAGCATCGTGGAAACTGAAGTCCCTAAAGGTTAGCTTGGTAGCTTCCATATAATTGGAGAACGAGGTTACAAGCCGAAGAGTCTCACTCCATACCAGTACTGTGCTCTTAAAATACAGCATCGTGCCATGTCCTTGGAAGAACCCTTAATTTAAGCAGAAAGATTTTTACTCATCCTATTTTTCGCAGTGAGATAGCTGTTTTATGACCTTGGGCAAGGCACTTGACCTGAATTCTGGTATGTAAAATAAGGGTGTTGATTTAAATGATTTCTCAAGTCTCTTTTCCTTTCTTTTGGCAAGGGGGAGTCCTCCTGCTGAGTGAAGTCATTTTCCTTTCAATGGCTGGCAGAGTGGCTTTGGCTCACTCGTACGTAATTCACAGTTTAGCAGAGCCAGTAGACTACAGTGTCTGTTTCACTCCACCAGCCAAGAAGGAGCAGGTGGCTGTCGATTTGTGATGTTCTGGGGGAAGCTATTTGTCTGTGATAACCCAGATAACTCTGGATACTTGCAATGACAGCTCTCCCTGAGCACATGATATGTTTAGATGCTGATCGCTGCCTCACCTGTGAACACTTCAGTCCTTGTTTTACACACAAGCCTGGTGAATATAAAACTGGAGGTAAATAAAAAACAACTGAATCAGCGACCTGGAATCTTACCTTCTCTGTTTCTGGATAAACACCGTTGTTAGCTGAAAATGCTCCACTAATTTTCTGGAGCTTTAAAATAGAAAAGGTAGGATGGAGATGCTTGACAATGTGGTTGCTATGCAACCACTTTACAATTATATAGGTTCCCACCACACTAGGTGATATGGAGGGGGTGATAAACCAAGCTCATGCAGTGAGCACACAGAAGATAATTTTCTTGTGACAGAGCAGAGTCTGAGAGCTCGAGTTGGGGACTATACGGGTAAGAAAGAAATGCCACAAATGAGAAAGGCCTCCATTTATAGCAAGAACATGGGGATCATATTACACAGTTGGATGGGCAGAAGCTCAACAGAAACGGCCTTAGCTTCAAGGCAGGGAGAAACACACAGTGGTCCTTTGAAGCAGGATTTGCTCTAACCAAATTTCAGGGAAGATGAAAACCAAAAAAAAGGAAACAAAGTATCGTATGCTTTACTCTTATTTAATAAGCCTTGCCTAATTTAATCTTTACAGCAATTTTGTAAGGTAGGTGGTACTAATCTCATCACATAAATGAGAAAATGGAAATTTAAGAGATGTTCAGCAACTTGCTCAAGGTCACATTATAATTGAGAGTAAATCTGGGATATGAACACAAAACTTTTAGTTCAAGTCCAATATTTCTCTCATTACATTGTACTTGGTGGGTTATCATTCACACTTATTATTTCTTTCATATTATTGGGGTTCTTTTGTATGAATTCCACAGAGAAGACTATTGTGTTGTGAATTTTCTTTTTAATTTGTACTGAATATCAGGAATTTAACTCTGACCGTTTCTGGTGGGCTTATTGAATTTCAGAACAGATTGATTTTATTGCATATACTGCATTCTGTTCCTTATGTAATTTTCTCAAAGTATCACATTAACTTAAATAGGGAAATTGTGCATAGTCCAAGAAATAAGACAGTTACTTAAAGTTGTCTTTACAATTTAGCCAATCCAATCTCTGACTCATGGGTCGAAGGCCAAGAACACATGTCGCCACTGAGGGAGTTCTCGCTGTCTCTGCATATAGCCTGGCTAAGAGGCACGTGGAGATTTCTTTTGGAAGGTGTGGTGTTATGCTCTCTGAAGTTAGAATGAAAGAAGGAACACGATTGTTTAACATCATAGAGCTGGAGCTAGATAAATATGATGTCGCATAGAACATAATATGTCCTAATCTAATATCACAATAATAATGAGGATGATAGTTTTTCACATTGTGTAATGTCTATAAGGCTTTCATATAACCCAACTCAGGGCATTCTCACTAGCACCCAGTGAGGTGAACAGAGCATATTTATTGCCCCTTTTGCGCGATATTCCCCCATTTTATAGAGAATTCAAATAATCAAGGGAAACAAGGCTTAGAGACATTAGGTGTCTTACCTGAGGTCTCATAGGTGCAAGAGGGTGAGTCAGCAATCAGCTTTATCTTCTGATTTTCCCTTGTCCCTTTGCTGGTGACCTTGCCATCGACCTTCATTCTTCTCATTTCTCACCTACAACTTTGCTGTAGGGAACCTGGGCAAATGATACTAAATTTATAGTTGCCTGAAACTAGATTAAGTAGGTTACATTTTTTAAATGAACCATATGCAAAGAAGCATAGACTTCCGTGTCAATTTCAAACTTTTGAATGTGACTTTCAACAAAATCTTGGATGAGAATTCTCACGTAGAACTCAAAAGAATTACAAAGTAATTATTCTATAATTGTCCAACTCAATTCAGCAAACCACATATTGAGTGCAAATTTACATGCAAATCACAGTGTTAGGTACTGTGGGAGATAAATGAAACAAATAAATAAAATGTTGTCTCTTCCCTTCAGTGGTTTATCGATTATGGGGAAGAGAAGCCCACTCTTTCTTTTATTTTCTATTCTTTAGTCCCTCTGTTGTTCCACTAAGGTCTAAAGGAACTCATAATAATAAACTTTAATAAAATAAGGTCCCAAGTCCTGTGGGTTTCTAAGGTTACTCCTTCTTTTTAAAAAAATAACCTAATATAATATTTTTTTGTTACCAAGTGACTTCTGTCTATAGGATATTTGGCTCCCACCACACCCATAATATTTCTTGAGAATTCACAGGGAATATTTAAATGTCTTGATGAACACCTATCTGTCTTTCCTAACTCTTGCTCAAGGTTCTTTCCTCAGTCGCTTCTGACAGCCTCATCATTGCTGCTTCTACAAGATATTCCAAATGTCTTCAATTCACTTTATTCTAAAACAGTGCCAATGCAATGCTGATCAGTTACAAATTGCCACAGTAAGGATGGGTAACAAACAACCAAAAAACCTTTGTGGCGTACAACAATGTATGTTTTCTGCTCACGTGTCCTGAGTGGTCAGCTAAGTGCCTTTGCTGATCTCGTTTGGTCTTGCTCTCAGGTCTAGGAGTGAACTGGCTGTCACCTGATTTAGTAGGACCTCGCTTGTGACAACTGGGAAGGCTCGCCTGTGCTTTACGTGGCTCTCCTCTTCCTGCAGGCTAGTTTGCACATGTTCCCATGGCGGTGGAAAGGGGCTAGAGCAGGCAAGTGTACTCCTGCAGGTGCTTTTTATGATCTGCTTGCATCATGTTGTCTAACCTCCCATTGCCCAAAGCCAGTCACGTGGCCAAGCCCAGTTCAGACCACAAAAGGACATGCATATGAGGATAAATTCAGAAAAAGCATAAGGTAATTAAAGACATTGAGAAGACAGCATTTCTGTCATTTTGAAAAACCTACCACAGGGCGAGAAAAAGTGAGAATTACAGTCAGGAAGGCAGTTACCACTCGAATAACTTAAGTTTTTCATTTCCAAAAAGTAATTATTTGTAAGCTATCTGACGTGATATAGATGAGTTCAAATGATGTGTTTCAGTTTTAGAAAATGCCTAAAGCGATTTTTTTTGAACTTAAAAAATAACTCTAATGCAATATGTTTATTTTTAATATCCAAAATTAGGAGAAGAGGTGGCTGGTTTTGTTTTGTTTTCTTTTCTCTTATTTCCTTTTTGTTATTGTTGTTTTTTAAAGATCGGTTAAGAATTAGACCTAGGAGTGGCTATGAATTATATTGTGTTCAGCTTATTAACTCTTCTAATAGAAGGCTGGAGTTGCATATTGTATGTATGTTGAAAAATCCTTATAATTTGTCATTTAGAATTTTAAGTTAGATTTAGGAAATGCCCATAAAAAGCAAAATTAAACCACATTTAGGGAAAAACATTAAAATATTTATTTCCAAAACACTATGTCTTTCATTAGAAAAAAAAAGATATGTGGCCCTTTTCTTCTTCTCACTAAAAGGAAAAAAGTTTCTATCATCACTTGTACATAAAAAACATTTCTGTTCTAGCACCCATTTTTCTTCATTTTTACTTTAAAAATTTGTTGCTTAGTAGATATTATAATAGTCATGACATTTATAAAGGAATTGAGAACATTTTCTATTCTTAATTTTATTGAAGTAAATTCTGATTTGAAAAATAATTTTAAGAAAACATCATAGAAGAAAATCATCTCCAGTATAACTCACTTATTCCTTTGTTGAATATTTGAAAGTTTTGTAAGATGTAAAATCAGAAATGAAACAAGAAAACTATTTCCTCAAACAGGAGAAACCAGGTTATAGCAATGCTGTTCTCGGTTCCGTGCTAGTTTTCCTGAGGATACAGAGTGATTAATATTCCCTGAACATCAATAATGTCTATTTGATTAAAAATAATTTACATATATATAATAAAACATGAAATAAGACAGTGGACATAAAGTGCCCAGTGATGGACACTACTAGTGATTTATATTTTTTAGACATTTTTCATGGACCCATTTTATCTTTACTGTAGAGAATTTAGGAAATACCAACAAGACATAAGAAAATAAAGAATCGCCTGGAATCTCTCATCAGGGAGCAGAAATACATCCTTCCAGTTGTTTCTAGGCATATATTCACATGTTCCTCCATACACATCTTTACAGGAGTGGAATCATGTGCTGGTTTGCAACCTTCTTTTTTCACTTTATAATATTTTTGTGAATATTTTCTATATTATTACGTGTTTCTCTGCTATGTAATTTTAATTGTAGCATAGTCTTTACTTCATGGATGTACCATAATTTTTAAACAATTGTTGGACTTTTAGATTTGCATTTTCCCCTATTAAGAACAAATTTATGATCAACATTTCTTTAGCTAAATGAAATTGCTGAGAGTTCTGAGGCCAGCTTGTTTCTTGTTTCACTTTAAAATCTACCCCATTTTGTTGCTTATGGTTGTTGTAGTTCTGTCGGTCTTGTTTTGTTTTGGTTCTGCTTTGTTTTTCTTTAGTTTGCTGAAATAGGTCCAAGAACATTTTATTGAGTTTTGCACATAAAGTGGCAGTACCTCTTTTCTACACTCTCAGTTCTCTCTGACCCTCAGGGAAATTTTCTTCAGCTGTACATTGAATTACTGCTGCTGTGGCATTTGCTCTGTTCTCTCTTTTTAGAAACAGGAGCATCCACACGCTCCTTGTCATCCATATCTGTCATCTTCTGAACTTCTCGAGCTTGTGCTCTATGGCCATGTTGCATAAATACCACATGTGGTGTTTGGATGAGGAGCAGTGGAGGTGGGTAGAAATACATAATCTCAGACCCCACACTTCCCTATCGGAATCTGGAGTTTCACAAGAAGCTCAGGTGATTCCCGTGTACACGAAAGTGTGAGAAACACTACTCTAAATCACTGATTATATTTTCTTCAGTATAAATCCTGCTGTTTCTGGCCTTTAGTGCAGATTTTAATTGAGTTGTTATATTTTGGGCTTCCTTGCAGAAACTTTCTAACCTGTGTATTAGTCTGCTCAAGCTGCCACAACAGAATACCACAGACTGAGTGACATAGACAACAGAAATTTATTTCCTCGTAGTTCTGGAGGCTAGAAATCTGAGATCAAGATGGCAGCACGGTTGGCGTTCTGATGAGGCCTCTCTTTCTGGCTGGTAGACAGTCTCCTTCTCACTGTGTCCTCACGTGGCTATGCACACAGAGTCAGAGCAAGTTTGCCAGTGTCTCTTCTTATGAGGATACAAAACCTATCAGATCAGGACCCCATCCTTATGACCTAGTTTAACCTTAATTACTTCCTCAGAGGCCCCATCTCCACATGCAGCCACACTGGGTGTTAGGTCTTTGACATATGAATTTTGGGAGGACACATATGTTCAGTCCATAGCACTCAGCATTTTCCCTTTTCGTCTTACTGTATTAACCTTCTCTTTACTCCTCATGCTATTACTTTTTCATCTCATAGTGTTGTTTTTGGTTTCTCTGTTATTTTTCTCTGACTCTCTCTTCGTAGAAGCCATGAATCCTTTGGTGATAATACCAACTTATTGAAATTTTTTCTAGGATCTTATATTCTTAGAAATATTTTTCCTGTAAATATTTTAGTTCCCACTCTTTCTTGTCAAGCAAAATTCACCCCCTTCCTCCCGGAGGGTTAATCTTTTTTGTGTGTGTCTTAGTAATTCCCACCAAAAGAGATTCAGTCCTAAGTCTCAGTGTTTGTCAATAGATCAGAGAATTAACGGCTAAAGTCCCTCTCCTGTAAACTTTCCAGATCTCTAGCTGAAATGCAGACTGATATGCTCAGATCTATATCCTTTCCAGTTTCTTGCTGGCTTTCACAAAACGTTTTGATTGTCTTCTGAGGTAGTTTAATTCCCTACACCACTGGTTCTTTGATACTTTGAACTAATGGGATACATGAAGAATTTTTGCCTCCAGATCTTTTTTTCCCCCTGTATCTCTGATGATAATTCTTTACTTTTGGAACTGGGACATTCTTTAAATCAAAGAGCTACAACCAACTGCTCCTACATGCTGGCAGTTTCTGCCTTTGTGTACAGGTGGGAAGCAAACAGGGATGGAGCTGGGCTTGACTCCTCTCTGCCGTGTTAGAGAGGAGCTCCATGAAGTAGTTTGGCTGCTGATCTTACACACAGAGGGGCAGGTATAAAGCACTTTCTAGGCTTTTACAAGTTCTCTCTCTTAAATAAAATAAAGTCTATATATGAGGCAAAACTTAAAGCGCTTTCTCCTAATCCTTTGCCACCAGGTTTATTGTGTCAGACTTTACTATATAATTCCAGTACAAAGTGGGCCAACAATATTAGGTTTCAATATTGTGAGTTTTCATGTGCTTTTCTGTGTTCTTCTTGGCATTTAAAAGGGAAATTGAGTGAAGCTGACTTCAAGTTATTAATTAATTCCTATTTTGAACCAATAATCTCAATGCTTTTAGTTTATTTCATATTTCATCCAGGGAAAGGTCAGGGCTTCCTTTACAAGATTGAAAAATGTCTCCCAAATTGCTTAAGGTGTTTGCTTTGTAATCCTTGGCACCTTCCCAATTTATTCCAAAATATTTTGCCTTTTTGGCCTTGCATCACATCCTTACTTCGTAGTTGAAAATCTTACTTCGTATCTCCCCTACATCACCTACAAAATTCAAGCTAAACTGATTGAATTTTGTGCCAATAAAA